TCAGCCTATGATAAATTTCTGAAATTTTTTATGCCATCTCCTTTTGCCAGTATATTTCTGTAGAAGAACCATAAAGTTGGCTTTCCAAATATGGAATCTAGAATGTCCTTTATTGTTTGATTGAACCTATATAGCACATTGTGAATTCTTTACTGTGGGATGGACAAGCCTGTTCAATTTCATTTCATACAGTCTGTTATTTTTCTATCCTTAATAAAATCTATCTCATTTCCCAATATTTTGGATTTTTAAGATATTTGTGGGTACCTTTTCTTAACATAAATATTTTCCATATACGTTGGTTAATATACTCATATTTGTACACACTTTTTCTTAGTATAGATCTATATTTTAGTTGAAATCAAAAGTGTGGACAAATGTATGGATTTTGACATATAACTGTGTTTTGATTCATTAAAAAGTATCAGATGCATAACATGGCTTTATATTAAAATCTTAACTAAGGTGGTGGTGCAGAATAAGCTGAAGGAAGGATTATGGAAAAAAAAAGTCTCTGTTTTACTGGACTTAGAAGTCAAAGAAAAATGATGCTTTTTAACCTGCATCATATTTGCTCTGCTTTTTATGACTGAACAGACATGTGTTGAAATGGGGACAATTTTGCTTCTTGTCATTTTTATCTCATGGTGATTGAGAGAGAGGAACAGAGCTATAGAAAAATACTGTTTTTATGTTTTTATATATGGGAAGGAAAGATGTTCTTTAATGAAGTCTGTGTGTGTGTCAGAAAAGCTGAATCATGGGCCTGAGAGATGTCCTTTCGCTTGTCAGGAATGGCATGGGAACAAATGGCAATTCAGAAGCTGACCTTACAGATAAAAAGGCTACACTACAAAATGTCAGTGACAGACTTTTTAATATTCCTCAAGTATTTCCATGTTATTTTCATACTATGTCCAAAATCAATCATTTATGTGTTGCTATTAACCTTTTATATTTATTTCCAAGTTTAGCTTTATTAAAGATTAGTATTTTGTTTTGATACTTTTAATCCATAATAAACAGCCAATAAGTTAGTCTGATATCTTACATCACTTATTATTAATTCAATTATTTTAATTTTTTTGTATTGTATTATTTGTTATGAGTGTCACATGATGGTAGGTGATTTTATGTTTCACATGTTATTATATTTTAGAAAAATGGTATTTAAAATGAACTATTTAAAAGGAAAGCCACATTTCATTTCTTAGCTTTGCATGTAGTCATACACAATCTAAGGTCCACCATGTTTTGTGACAGTGAAGGAAGTCTTAGGGAGCTATGTATTTTGTTGTGCAGTATTACTATCAGATGGCATCCAAATACTTTGATCTAACAGTGTGAAGGTCTGCCCTCAATTGTTTATTAAAATAATAATAATAAAAATAAATTATTTATTGAACATGGATGTTTGCTTTGTAATATCCTCTCTCTATACTGGTATTTTCATCAATGACAGATGGTAGTCTGCAGGTTGTGCTTGCTTAGTGACTATAATTGGCACTAAATGCCATGATCGCTAAGTGGAAAATCATGTGACCATGATAGGCTTATGACATTACTTCCCATTCAGTTGTTAAGGGAATCACTGTGGTTGTTAAGTGAGAAATTATGTGACTGCAACTTGTAATTTCACTTCCACATTCTCCATTAATTCTGCTTGTCCAAAGCTGGTTGTGAAGCACACAAATGGTAATCACATGACTGCAGGACGCTGCAACAGTCATAAATGTGAGGATTGGTGGCAAATCTGTTTTGAACGGTCACTAAACGAGGCAGCTGGCAAGTGAGGACTATCTGTAGTTGTATTTTGTCATACTTCTGCTAATAAAGCTGTAGTTAATGTAAAACTTTGTCTGCTGTAATTAATTTAAAACATTTCCTGACATATTTCTCAAATGGTTCATATTTATTTAAACCATCAATAAAAATTCTTAAACTAAGTTATAATTTGTGAAAATAGAATTTCCTAATTAGTGAATAAATTGAAAATTTAACTATCTAAAAGCCCAAGTTCATAATTTAATATAGTTTCATTTATTGTCTGGGGCTAGTAAACTATCTGATCTATAACCAATGCAATACAGTGCAATGTTCAAGTATGCTTCTTTGGAAGCTGAATTATTTTCTGTAAAAATGGAGACCAAGGACAATATACATGTGACAGAATAAGCTATACTTCTTAATTTGAACTAATTTTCAGAAGGATCATTTTTAAAAGTTAGCATATTGAAAATAATTGCAAAAAACAAGGAACATATTTGTTAGGACTGAATTCTGAAAAGCAAAGCAAGAATGATGGTCCGTTTCTTTGCATATTCTGGTAATTAGGGACAGATTTACTTAAGCGCTAGTATTCCTAACATGAGAACATTGATAAAACACCACCGAAGTATCTATAGGCCTACAAGGGTCTATAAATTCAGAAGATAAAATCTTATTTTAGGTTGGTTGCCTTTACTGAAGCTTAGGTAGAAGGTGATTATTGGATTTTCATGCTATTGTTCCTAGGCCTTATTTTGCAAGCAAAACATATACTTTGTGACTGAGCATTGAGTCATTTAACCAAGCATTCAAAATATAATCACACCTCAAAATAATAAAGCCTACCTGCAAGAATTGTCACCTTCAGTACAAATGAAATATACTAAAAAGACTAGCAGGAATATAATAGCCTCCAGTTCAAATGGAACAGAATATTGGAGAGGTATTAAGGTAGAAAGCAATTTACAATAAAAACCACCTCAGTTCTATTCTGCAGCACATTATACCACATTTGGAGGTCCAAGTGTATATAGGATTGGAACTTTAATATCCTCTAGCTAAAATACTCTTTGTTCCATTTGAAATTAGTAGTCCTGCTCATCCTTTTTTCACTCACTTTCATGTCTGCATATTTTCCCCCTACACCTAACTGCGCAAATAAAATCTTGTCTACAATAATAATAAAACGTCAGGGGGAAAAATTAAAACAACATGCTTGTTTTTCATAATGGTTTTTACCCCAGGCCATGCTATACTGTGCCTCTGCTTGGACTGCAAAGCAATTGATCTTTCACTGGCACTACGGCGTGTGAAATAACAGTATTATTTAGTCTTAGCTGTCTCTTTTCATATACTGAATAATACTGAGCTTTGGATGAAAGGTGTGAGGAGAGGGAAATATTCCATTTGTAACTAATTCAGCAACATCAAATACAATGTTTCGAGACTGCGTAGGAGTTTTAATGAGTACCATGGCCTTGAATATGTGCTGTGAAAATATACTAAAGAAAGCCTAGCCTGCATTATATAAGAGCAGGATTGGTGGTAAATCACTTAAACCCATACCCTAAAAGGCATTTTTGTCTACAAACTGAAGCTAGC